GCGCGTCGCGCGTCGCGCTTCTGATTTCAAGTGAGGGCTGTTCTGATTTGGTGTCAAGGAATGGCCCGGGGGGGGGTGGGGAAGCAACTCTTTGGGGGTTGAAACTTGAGCGACCCCTGGCCCTGCAGGTGTTTCCTGTTTGGCGCTGGTGGCCTTGGTTGAGGCTATTTGAAAGGGAGCCAAAAGGAAACCAAGCATTTACGGAACGCAAAGGGGCGGGGGAGGGGGGTGGGGGGGAGGGCACCCCCCCAGGGTGATGGCGCATCACTCAGTCGCCTCCATGCCTGCATGGTTTTAAGTACACTAAGGGCTGTTGGATTCCCCTAAAGGAAGCCACCAGTTGGATAGTTTAGTTCTGTTGCTTCATTCCCTCCAACCATCTGCGTTTGGGGCACCCACTTTTGCGTCAAGTTCCGTTTTCGTCTCCCCTCATGAACATCTCCGCTGCTGAAGACTCTTCATCCGGGGACCTCCAGGAAATTGCGGGGGTTCCCTATACTTCCGCTTTCTGGCTGCTGGACAACCAAAAATTCATACAAAGACACCGGGGGAAAGGGTCCAGCTGCAGTCGATGTTCGGATGCCGGTTGTTGCCATCTTCTAACAAGGGCTTGGATCGTATGTCCCGGCCAAGCAAATTTGACCAACCTCACACAACAGTCGCCACGTGAGCCACGGCCAAAATATGCTTTTGCTTCTGCGGACATTGAAAAAAAAGACATCCCTTCTAGCTTTCTGGCAACTTAGACATAGACATCCCTTCTGGTTTTCTGTTGAAATTTCAAGAGTCCCCCATCCTCTCAGATAGACCACCAGGGACTGGAAATGTTGCTTTCGAACCTGTCACTTTACACGCCACCAAGGCCGTCGGGGGTTGGCCAAGGGTTTTGTTTTCGTCCAACCCAATAGCCAAAGGGTGCCTACGACGGACATGGAATTTTGATAGGGGAGCCTTTGGTTGGCATCATTTGGGAATTCAGTCCACGAGCTTTGGAGGTGGTTGCAATTCTTGAAATTCATAGCCACATGTAAGGGGGAATCGGGGAGCAAGCAACCTTGCTCAAGGTACATCTTGCAAAAGGTTGGCAGGGTGCTGCATTTGATCTGCAACTAAATCTACCTCTGCCCGGTTGATGCACGGAAACGAGGCATGACCCACTCGCTTACTGGGCGCTCGATCCGATCCGCGATCTGGCTTGCGCCTCCATGTTGCCACTGGGAACTACCTGGGGCTCAAGTCTTAGGCCCAGAACTCGATCGCTTGCCGGATCGGATGTCCCCGAAAGATCGATTCATCCTCTCAATGTGGCCATGGGTCAAAATCTAAATCGTACCCCCAGTGAACATCCCAATCCCCACTAAAATAGGTTCTAAAGTGGGTGGTGTACCTACCCCCCAAAATACCATTGGTTTTGACACACAGCCATGTGGTGCACAGATGCGAGGCTTGGCGCTGCGCGCGCACAGGCCTCCGAAGAGCAAAATCGTCTTCCAAACGCGCTGTGCGCTTCTATGTTTGGCGAGAGCTTGCAGGCTCCAATGATCTGTCACTTGAGGTCCAAGCACGGGGAGCTGAGGAACCCCTGTGGCCGTAGAGTCGTAGAGGGCATGTTCATTTGGCCATTGTGAGATTGGTGTTCCCTGCCCTGAAAAAAAACACTATGAGCCCAGGTGACAGCCCGGAACCCGGCGAACCCGCCCTGAAAGCTGCCCCAAACCACCCAGAGCCTTGCTGGGCAGAGATCCCATAACTCTTTCAGCTGTCGGAGAATAACGGTACCAGCAACAACCAACACACACACACACACACATGCGCACGCACATGTCCGGGTGTGTGCATTGTGCCCTGGGACTACACCCTTGGCAAATGATGCCAAGAGGGTTCAGTTTCACAAGGCTTGTCCGAACCCCCCACCCCCCCCCTCCATTTTCATAGCCCTGGCAGCCAGGGGCACCTTGCAGCCCCCCTAAAAAGGTGCTGTTTTTTTCTTTTTCGCTGGCCACAAGACCACGAGGGAAACGGCTCTCCCACGTTTCAAACACAAGCCCTTGAGGTCCCGGGTCTCGCCCAGCAAGATGTGGCCGAAAGCCTTCTGAAACGAAGAGTTTGAGGCGAAACCGCGTCCCTGGCCGTGTTTGTCAAGGGAAACTCGGGAAACCCAAAGGAAAACGCCGATCTTGAAGCGAATGGCATGCCCACAAGGCCGAAGGCGGAGCAAGTGGAACTCCCCAATTTGGACCCGGCTCTGTTTTAAAGCACGAATGGCATGTCCACAAGGCCAAATGCAAGTCACCCATGCCGGCCTGAGCCGGGGCATTGTTCCACGGGGAGATTCGAGAATAGACCTCAAGTGATCATTCACCCGGCGCTCTGAGCACGTGCTTCATGCATGATTCATGTCCATCAAACTCCCTATGCGGGGTTCTCAACACATGGCCATGGGTCAAAATCCCGTACCCCCAGTGAACATCCCAATCCCCACTAACATCCCGACTAAAATGGGTGGTGAATTCACCGGTATCCCAAAATGGTTTTGACAACCACACCTCAGAACATAGGTGTCCTTTTTGGTTAGTTTGAACATAGAGGGCACTGGTTTAGGTTTGGTTCCAATCTGGATCACCAGTTGCTCCTTTTTTCATCCACTTCACCATCCAGAAACCAGGCGTGACTGGAAGAAGCGATCACACCTTGGCTATCTAGGAATCATTTACCAGGGCTCCACATACCCCAAGGATTCCCTCCACGCTCTAGTCAGAAGTGGCCCGAAATCCCAGACCTTAAACTTCGTAGCCATATACTGGCCCCTCAAAGAGGACAGGAAACTCATCCAAAGTGGCCGCTTCCCCTGCTCCCAGTGCCCTTCTTGCAGGGTATCAGGCTACCCCCTGGTTGCCATGAAAAAACCAGGTGTGTGCCCATATTCAGCCCTCGGGGGATGGACTTTTATACTTCCACATCGGCAGGAGGGGGGGGGGGGGGGCGAACCCTTCTTCCTCGGTGTTTCTGTCCGAGGTCCGTCCTTCGGTCCCCCGACCATCGCTTTTGCGCACGTGTCCATGGACCTTAGGGCGGGAGAAAAGTTGCGCAAATCCGGCCGCAAACAACGCCGAGGCTTTTGGTTTACCACCTCCCCTGGAAATTAAGATGGAACCGAAGAAGCAATCAAACAAGGAGGTTTCATCATAAGAGTTTTTTAGGGTTGCATGTTAATATCCAGAACTCCGGGCCTGAGTTTTTGTTTGGTACCCTGAGACTGCCTGAACTATGGAAACAAAGACCCTAAATGGTGCAAAACAATCAGACTCTGGGAAATGACCTCCAAATTTGCCGGAAAACTCCCAATAAAATGCAAAACCCATTGGAGAAAAGCAGCGCAGTGGCGCTTTGTCTTTCAAAATTTGGTGGCTTGAAGTAGTGGGAACCTGGTATGGAGTACTGGTTGGTTTTCAAGGGGTCCCAGTTGAGAGGATCTAGGATAACTACTTTTGGGAGGTCGGTTCGGGCTCAACATCCAACTACGCGCCAGCTACACCTCCAGTGCACTGTCATTTAGGGAGTTGAACTTCCTGTAATGGACTTTGTGAACAAACGCTGTTGCAACACATGCGCAGACCGCACAAGGAACATTCGGCGCGATGCGCGATGTTGCGTGAGTGTGGGAAGCTGTGCGTTTGGCCTGAAGGTCAGCACACTTACCACGCAGCTGGCAAATCAACTGATACTACTGGCACATCGCCCTGGCGGCAGATATCTGACCTTTAACAGCTTACCCTTTAGGACATGTCACACTCCTGCGAAAGTCGGAGCAGTTACCTGTAGGTCAGTACAATCCCTGCAAAAGCGGGACAAGTCAGCAAAACTGCAAGTCTGCTCACACTGCTCGCACCTTGGTTGCTGTTGACCCCGCTGCAAAAAGTTTAGCTTTTGCGGGTTTAACGGAAAAACTCTTGATTTCCCAAAAAGTTCAAGTCTAAAGATCCAACCCAATAGCACTCAAGGCACAAGCACACACACACACAGAGCAGGTCAACCCTCCCTCCTCGTTTTTGAGGCCGCGGCAGGACAAGGCGGCCCGAATCTCCCCGAAACCCTGGCGTTTCTGATCCTTGCCCTTGCAGGAGAAAAGGGCAATAAAAGCACGAGATGTGTGCGAACACGAGACGAAAAGGCCTGACAATGGGTCAGATGTGCCATACCTGATACTCACACAAGACGACCTTGGCACGCATGAACCATATGGTATTTACCTTAATTCGAGCCTTTACAATAGTGGTCTAAATTTGGATCCTTGATTTCCTTGTGGTGTCTCTCTAAAACAACTCACCTAGATGGCCAAGTTGCGCTTTTGGTTTCTTACAAACACAATCTCAACTCGTTTAAACAACAAAAGAGAGAGAGAGAGAGAGAGAGAGAGAGAGAGAGAGAGAGAGAGAAAGAGAGACAGAAACAGTTCCAAAAACGGAAGAAACATAAAGGGTGACAAAATAATGACAACCCGTAGCGCAACTCACCATGGGCAGGGACAGCCATGCTCCTATCCGTGTGGACAATGGCTTTGTCTTGCTAGTTCTGAGTAAGGAATCAACGTCGGATAACGTCGGGTTTTCGGGCATGAACCAGAAGAGAAGATCCACTTAAATGGATGCTTTGTGTTGTTGTCTCTTGAGGTCATTCCCCTTTTGACCCGGAGAACCAGAACCAGGTCAAACCAAGAAGATTCCCACAAGGAATTTGGAAACTGCCTGATCCAGGCCGGTGACACTCGAGCGCACCCCGCCCTTTGGACTTTTTCTCCAGGCCAAATTGGCTGAGCGCTTGCGCTGCGCCTGCCAGTCTTGTCACACGCCGTGGACGCAAGCGCGCCAGAGTTGAGCTTATGAAATCTAATTGGACGTGGGCCCGTTCTTCTGCACAACCCTGGTCAGTACCAGGAGCCTTAAAAAAAGCCATGAAGAAACATGCTGTTTTAGCAAGGGCACGACATTTTTACAAGAACCTGGTCGGATTTCTGCAAATTTGTGGCCCGGACACAACTCAAGGAGCCGCAAGCCTCAGCGTGCCAGCTTGCCTTTCACCTGTCGGAAGGCACAACCGTCCGAAAGGTCGTGGCAGCGTTCGGAGGGTTTTCGTTCTGAGGGTTTTGTATTCCACCCTGGGATTACACCCTTAAAAAACGACCCAGAATGGTGGAAAATAACACGGGTTTTCTCCGGAGATGTGCCTACATGGGGTGAATACCCAGGTATATTCCCAGGGTGTAATACAAAAACTTACAAGCGTGGGCTTTGCAGCAATTGAGCGGTAACTTAAGTGAGATCGAAACCGCGAGCAAAAAAACATATCAGTGTCCTGTTGCAGCTTCGGCTGTTTTGCAGGCTCTGGGAAACCATTTGTTTTGGGCGGAAACCCTCATATGGAGGGGCCGCAGGGTGTCCATGGTAGTTTCCGGATCCACCAACCACGTACCCCAACAATGGAAGCTGACAGGAGTGGAACTACCCTACTTCTCATGTGAAAAAGAAAAGACTGGAACTTTCATGGAAGTTTCAAGAGTTGAATTCTAGAACTCCGGAACCCTCTTCGCAGGGCTGCTTTTACCCTGTCAGAAGCCTCGGATGTTGGCCTCTGGAAAAAACCGACCCAAACGTGAAATTTGCCCGTCATCGGCTGGAGGTTCAGAGCAATTCATCCTGTCTGACGTTCTTTCTTTTCAAGACCCAAGCCACCATCAAAGCCCGGCAACCGCCAAAAAAGAAAAAGAGATGAGAAAGGAGGGGGAGAATTTGCGCGCGAAAGGCCCCCAAGATCCCAGGAGAATCCGAAAAAATGGGGCGGGTCTCCACCTGCAACCCGACCGTCCCCTTCGCTTCCGCGAGTCGATTTTTTTATGCGGACTTCGGGCGGACGGAACCTCGTTGAGCTGCCGCTCCAGGTTCGCCAGCATGCCCTGCGAGGCGATCCGGAGACACGAAGCTTCCGATTCGCCAGCTTCGGGCGTGGGGGGGGAGGGGAGGGTGGGGGTGGGGGTGGGGTTGTGGGTGTGGGGGTGGGGGTGGGGTGTGGTGGGGTGTGGTGGGGTGGGGTGGTGGGGTGTGGTGGGGTGTGGTGGGGTGTGGTGGGGTGTGGTGGGGTGTGGTGGGGTGTGGTGTGGTGGGGTGTGGTGGGGTGTGGGGTGTGGTGGGGTGTGGTGGGGTGTGGTGGGGTGTGGTGGGGTGGGGGATTTGGGTGTTTTTTTTCACAAATTTCGTGTTAATTTCTTTGCCGTTGAGCAACTGCGAGTCGGGCTTGACGCTTGATCGTGTTTTAAAAGAGAGAGAGAGAGAGACCGCGGCTTGGCGTTCTAGGTCTGCTTCTTGGCGGATTGCTCAACAGAGCGGGGTGCAACTCGCCAAGTGACTTGGATCTGGGACACCCCCCAATGAAACTCGGCCAGGGGTTTATTCATGCATCAACTGGGGCAGGTTGCCAAGGTTTGGGCGGTGTAGCATGCTTCAACAAGGGGGTGGACTCCAACCCTGCCAAAAAGCTATACCCTCGTTCCAATCATAGAAGTGGACAGGCGGGTTCTCAGAGAAAGTGGTGGTCTGCAATCTTCCTGGCAGCTTCCATGATTCTTGATGGGAGTGTAAATATTTGGACCCTTCAGTGGATATCAGAAGACGGGATGGACAAGCAGCGATCTATTCCAGGGGTACGAACTTCAAACGTTTGCTCCAAATCGCGCACACAAAAGCGAGCAACAACTCGCAGCCCTTTGGATGTTGTCTGCCCGTTTTTGGAAAAAGGCCCCCTATTTGCCACCAATCTCCACACAGAAGCGTTAACGGTCAGAAATCGGAGAGGCCCCTGTCGTGTTGCAAGTGCAAGACGCCCGCGTCGGTTCACTTCAAACCAAAAGGCGAACTCACGTCTCAAATGGCTGCGGGTCAAAACCAATGGTACCACCCACTTTAGTCTATTTTAGTGGGGATTGGGATGTTCACTGAGGGTACGGGCTTTTGACCCATGGCCAAATTGGATTGGAGCAGAATCTGTGCAAGGGTTTTCCCACAGCAGAAACCTGGTTTAGCCTGCTTTTCCCGGATATGTTAGATTCTTTGCGTTCACCCATGTAGGGGGGCAACCATAGATCCTCCAAACACGGAGTCTCTGGTGGGGTCGGCGAGAAGACAACTTCCTAGAGACTCTGGCGAAACCAGAATGGGGTCACTTTCAAGGGCACAAGGGTGTAGCTGTCCCAAATCTGGCAAAGAAAAGCATGTGTCCAGATTCTGCTTCAAAAAAAAAACAGTCAACCCACACCCCAGTGCACTGATGTATTTTTTGAATAGGGAACCCCCTTTGGTTGGTAAGGAAACCAGAAGGAGACCACCCATTTTGGGTGGTCCCAAATGAGTAAACCCGTCCTATTCTTAGGGGCGTGCTCCCTCCAAAGGTGATTCGACCCTGAACTAAAAAGAGACACCTGCCTATTAGTCAACCAGGGATTAATCTTAAGATAGACCCATGTGGATGTGTGTTTTTAGCCCCCCCCCCAGGGAGAAAAAACACACAAAAACATATACAAAGACAAATTGGTGGGGTTCCTCTTGGTTTCCCTTCAAACCCACAAAAACAAAGGGATACCCTCCAAAAGGACCGAAACCATTTTTTTGCCGTCGCCCGACGCCCCGTAAAAAAAAAAAAAAGGCTCTCTCGCCTGGAGCTCTTCTCGGGATTCCCGTTGCCGCGAGAGCTCGCCTCGAGCTCACGTTACGGGCACGGGGTCCGACGCAGCGAAGCAGCGAGACGTGAGACGTGAAGCAGCGCACCGGGAACCATGAAGCTCAGATGCCCAGAGGATTTCCATGGTTCTTCAAAACCTCGCAGCCCCACCATGCTCATGAGTGGGTTCAGGTTTCAACCCCAAGGGGCCAAGCAAAAAACATGTGTCCGGCCAGCGAATCAGGGGCTGCTTGGGACAAGGGTCCCACCCTCTCGGCCTTCGAGAAAGAAACAAACAACTCTTTTGGTTACCTATTGTTGGCTCGCCCGCAAGTGTCGTCCGATGGGCTCCCGGCCGGAACCTTTGCCACGGCCTTGGCAAAATGCTCCGCTCGCAGCTCAACTTCACCGGGGGTCTATCTGGACATGTGGCCATGGGTCCAAAGCCAAATCGTACCCCCAGTGAACATCCCAATCCCCACTAAAACAAAGCCTAAAATGGGTGGTGCACCTACCCCAAAATGGTACCATTGGTTTTGACCCGCAGCCATGTAATGACCAAGGATCCAATCCATTTTCTTCGCGGTGCCCCTATTTTAAGGCAGATCAACGGGGAACCCTACAGAAAACCCTTGCGCTTCTGCGGCTCTTCCTCGCCGCGGGCCTGGGGATTTTCCGCGGGATGCTTATGGCTTGGGCGTGGGGGGGCGGGTCTGGCTGTTCACGTCGCATGTGGCGCCCATGCGACGAAGAAAACCGCTCGAACGCATGGCCACCAGACACATGCATCTGCAAACAACCGCCCCCCCCCCCCCCGCGCGGAGAAGAAAAAAACTGCGGGGAGTCTGGCCGCGCTTTGCGTTCTGGCCAGAGCAATCCAAGATATGCAGGGCTCCCTATATGTCCCCTTAAAAAACACCCCCAAGAAGGGACACTCACCTTTCATGGACCAAAAAGCTGATGTTTAAAACCACCAAAAAGGGAAATATAGGGACCCCTGATATGTGACTACTATGTGACCTGGCACAGACATCAACCACGACTTGGAGTGGCTTCGTTTGCTGCGTGAAACCCAGCTGGGGCCTCGAAGGCGCCGTGGCGATTCCCTGAACTCTTCTGGGCACAGGACTCGGCCGCGTGTTTGCGGTCCAAGAACGGACCGCATAGCTTGGATGTGACGCGACCCCAACAAAACATTGGGACATGAACCTTTACAACAATGGATATTTTGCTAACAAACGCACCTGGAAGGGCTGGTTTTCACCGGCCGGGGCACTTTGAGCAATGGTGTCAGTCATGTCTTACGATCTTACACGCCTGCCACCCTCGTTTTTGGCGAGGGAGCCGCATGCCACTACAACAAGTTGACGTTGGACCCATCCGGCATCCATGCCGGACGAACCCCCAACATCGCCCATCCAAAGCCGCTGCAACCCCGCGTTTACGGATGCCGCCCCTTTCGACCTGGGGCTCGCGCTCTCGCGTCGGAAGCCCTTGCCCTTCTCCTCCCGCTTGCCCTTCTCGCCCTTCCGCTCGCCCTTTCCTGGCGGCTTGCGGGGCGCTTCCGCTTCACGAGCGGTAGGCTCAATTTGGCTCGGCGCCTTTCTCTTTCTCTCGCCGAAAAAGCGAACCAAACGCTGGGCTGGGCTGTCCGTGTTCAGATCCCCCGGCTCAAAGTGACTAACAGTGAGTGGGCGAAATGGAGAAAAAAACAGCCACTTAAACACTAAAAAGCTTAAAAAAAAGCTAAGTGGAAACGAACAAATCCCTTGGGCACCAAGGGTTTGTGCGTTCTGGTGTGCCGCTTTCAGACACCACACTTACAACACCCCTGGTGTCTAATTGGAGAGAGGTGATTGCCGTGCGGGGCTTGGGCTTTGCTGAGATGAGTTCCCTACACAACTTCCATTTTGTTAAGGCCCAGGAAAAAATACTGAAACATGTCCAGTAGTGATGAATTTCTTTTAAAACCAGCAAGGCAAAAACATATTCGTAAGCAAATGGAGGACAACATGGGTACTTGATGGCTCTGCTTGCTCCAGGCGCTTCCCTTTTGCTCGGATGACTTGTGCCCGGCCGGCCTCCCTTTGGCGCAACGCTGGGCCCGAACCTGGTCGTGCGCAGTGCTGACCCAACTGCAACATCACACAATTCACCAACCATGATTAGAGTTAGGCCCAGTTATAGAATGTATATTTCATTGTTGCTTCACTTTGAGTCACTGGTAAACATGAAAATGTATCCCAAGCACAACCACAACTCCAATTGAACCAGAAGGCGACCCATGTTTTTAAGCAACCCCTTGCTTACAAACATGCATCCATCGTTTCCACACGCTCTCCCTGCCTTTCCCAAAACCCTCGGACCCGGGCTCTAAGACAATGGGGTTCAACAACTTGTCCCTCGCAAGCGATTTCCCTCCCACCAGCTAACTGTAGAAAGATGACTTTCCTCTTGGAAAGGGCAACTTCTGGCACTTTCATGCTACTTGGTGGGAGGCTAGAACCAACACCCCAGTGAACCTCCGATTCAATCCCCACTAAAACAAAGCCTCAAATGGGTGATGAATTCACCTACCAACCAAAATGGGATCCCATTGGTGACGCGCCCACGCGATCTCAGGCGCAAGCTGCAGCTCCGCCTCGTGCTCGTGATACCTGGTGCTACGAAGAAGGGCTAAGGTTGACCCCGGATGCATATACCGGTTTATTAATAAGGGGGTGCTCACCTCCAATAGTGATGACTCTAAAACAGGGGCACCCCCTATTCATCAACCAGGGGTTTACTAATCCGGGGTGCCCATTAGAAAGGTTCCAAGGGATGATTCCAACCATTCTGTTTAACCATCGTTCTTTCCAAACAAAAGCACGGATCCGTTTTAAGTTGTCCCTGGGTTTCTGGAGGTTTTCTGACGTTGGGTGCAACGAACCAAGGGCTGTCCGTTTTCAGATCCCCCGGCTTAAGGTGACTAACTTTTAGTGGGAAAAATTGAAATCCCCCCACTAAAGACTAAAAGGCTAAAAAAAGCTAAGGAACCGGATGGCTGGGAACCACCAAGTGACAAGGGGTAGAAAGGTTCAGGCTTGCTCTGAACCCAATGCAATCAGGTACAACCACCTACAAAAAGCTATCGCGTAATTACCTGCCGCACGTGTTTTTTCACGATGTCAATCCCGCTGGCCCGGTGTTTTTGAGGCTTCTTCGTAGGGTAAACACTGATGCCAACATGTGAGCGTTGGAGGGAACACCCAGTGCACTGAAGGGTTGGTAGCATTCACGCATCCAAAACGTCTTCGCGAGGCTATGAGTGCTGATGTGATGCCGCAGCTGTTTCGAAACCTGCTTCAAGATCCAAGAAGGCTGTGCAAGATCAATGTTCAATAACTATCACGTCCAAATTGTGTTGCGGGTGGGCAACCACCCCATGCGTACCAAAATGGGAGGCGTTCAGGTTGGTTTCCTTTGAAAAACACTCCTGATTCTCGAGGCATCGACGCTCTGACTGACCCGGAGGGAGGTAGCCGGAGGTCAACTTTACTGGAATTGGACCGAAGCTGTGGCCTATTCTTGGGAAGTCGCCTCTTCCCAAAGAAAAACAAGGAGTCCGGAACCTCCAACATGGAGGGCTTCCCCTGTGGTTCCCCGGCTCCATCCTTCACCCATTTTTGGGTAGCGAGGGCTCAACGTCTTTGGACCCCCAAAAACGCCAACTCGATGCACGGCCGAGCGCTGCACCTCCGCATCAGGAGCACGTGGGCCCTGTGGCGCAGAAAATGCAAACCCCCAAATTTTCTTGCGGTCGGTGCGAGAGGTAGGGAATGAGAAATGGAATGAACCCAGGCTTTGGTCCCCTTAAGGGAAACCATAGGGGTCATTCCCTCATTCCCTGCTGAGCATCAGCAAGTATTAAAGTGGTCTCTACCCAAGACACGGACGCATTTTTCGATCGGGGGACTTTCCCGTTCCCTTTGGTCGCCCGAATTGAGCCGCGGTGCGACAGCTGCGCCTGTACACACCCAAGAGCGGGCCTTTGATGTGCAAGGTCTGCTCCCTGGCAAGGCGGAAGCAGAACCGCCGCGCCCGCGTTCGCGGGTAAAGCGAAGAGAGAAACTGCAAAGGGGCGGTGAAAGCCATGGCCCTGCTACCCCACCCCACGCCCCACCCCCACCCCACCCCACCCAGAGGCGTAAAGCAAAGGAATGGGGTTTTGGGGTACTTGTCAGTCATATTTAGTCATGATTACGGTGGTAAACTATTGGTGATTCTTTCGCCCCTTACATGTCAAAATGAAAATTGGATTCGCCGACATTTCTAACGGGACAAAGCCATGTTGGTTCCCTGTTTGTCGTGGAAATCGAACAAGAACGCCGAGACGACTTCCCCTGTTCAGGTATGTCGCCTAAAAAAGCGGGGGTGTTTTTTTGAAGAGTAGCATTCGTAGAAGTATTAGTGTTGTCTAGCGTTAGTAATAGTATTCGAGTTGGAGCAGTAGTAGAAGTAGAAGAAGAAGAAGAGTAGTGGTAGTAGTAGTAGTAGTGGTAGTAGTAGTAGTAGTAGTAGTGGTGGGGGTAGTAGTGGTGGTGGCAGTTGTAATAGTAGTAGTAGTGGCGGTGGTAGTAGGAGTAGTAGTAGTAGTAGTAGTGGTAGCAGCAGTAGCAGTAGTAGCAGTAGTAGTAGTAGTAGTAGTAGTAGTAGTAGTAGTAGTAGTAGTAGTAGTAGTTCGCAGTTGTAGTAGCAGTAGCAGTAGCAGCAGCCAGCGACCCACCAGGGCTGGCTTCTGGTGGGTTTGAGGTTGGTACAGGGATTGTTTCGTGCGCTGGTTTATGGTGGGGTTGTAAAGCTGGCTCAGGGTTGGAGCCTCAAATTCTCTGCCTCTTTGGCTCAGGCTCAGGGTCGCACACGACCAGTTCGTACTCCTCCTCTGCCTCTTCCGGCTCCGGGTCTGGGTCGCACAGGACCAGTTCGTACTCCTCCTCGCTCTCCTCGCGCTCCTCCTCTCCGGCGTCGAAGCCCCCTCACGCATGCTACATTTGTAAGAGGCATGACGTGTTCTTCAACCCTCACTACAAAACTCAACCAAACACTGACCAAGCCAAAAAATGCACAGTTCGGCAAGGAAACATGTCTCCACCACCTGGCTCTGATGAGATCCCCATGGCCCAAGGCCACAAGCTCCGGCCACATGCGCTTGTCCTCACAAAGCTCAAAGAGCAACACCGCCGGGTCTGAACTCTTCGGGCTGGATGTGCTTGGCGTGGCCGTGCTCTGCGTGGGCGAGTGGAGCTTGGCCACAAGCGGGAGCTTTGGCCAGAAGCGGGAGCTCCACTGCCTCCTCATCTGCGATCTCCGTCGGGCTGTACGGCGGGCTCGAAGGCGCCCATGACGGTGTCTCAAGCCCTGTCGGGCTCGCCACGAGTGCCATTGCAGCGAAAACAAAAAATGTAAAAAAGGAAAATGGAAAATTGAGGCCACAAATGGCTTCGGGCATCACATCAATCTCCAACCAAACAAAGTTCACATGAGCACTTTCATGCTTCAAAAAAAGAAACGAAAGGAGCCATGGCGCACACCAAGCTCCCGGCACGTTGAAGAAGATCTGCATCTGAAGGTAGAGCCGACATCAAAGAGGCAACGCCGGGTCTTGTTCTTGCTTGGCGATGTTTTGCCAATATTGAGTTTGTCGTTGTCAATTGCCAAACAGTTACTCAACAGAGAGGAAGTTGGAGGTTGCTTGAATGTGGTTTCTAAGCCTAGAGGGCTTAGAGGTCTCCTCTGTTAATGTGGCGCACGCTGTACTGATTGCCTCTTGCATGTTCCTGCCAGTGTCGGGGGCGGCGGCCAATCATCACTCAGTACGCACACAAAAGCACAAGCAAAGGTCCTTAAAAAGCGGGCCACCCTTCATTGCACCAATTTCCACCCCATAAGTGAGAAGTATGCGTAATGAGGCTGTGGACACTGGGATGTTGCGCCCAAAAAAGCTTGTTGGTTTCAAGCAGGCTTCATCAGACAATTGGACCTCAAAACTGCAGGGTGGCTCCTGGGTTATTGCCCCTAAAACGCACGATGGGAAATTTCATTTTTCTCGAAACGGGACAGTGTGTTATGCACGAAGGCAGCGACATGCAAGATAAGACACAGGCAAAGGACACAATGTTCACAGCCTGCGCAAGAGATCGATAGCGTGTCAGGCGTCAAAAATGCGCCGCCGCACGTCGTGGAAATACAACTAGTCATTTGGCACGCCACAGTCATACAACCAGTCGTTCTTTTGTACAACCAGTCGTTGCGCCCAGCCCGTAGGCACAACAACCAGTTGTAACCGCCGTACAACCAGTCGTTCAAAGTAAGCGTTAGAGTTCTCCAGGCCCCTCGAGCGAGAGGAAAACTGAGCCCGCGGGATGGAAAGATTTGAGCCTGGCGCCCGGCCTCGCTGCCGATCTCCCGCCCAAGAAAACCTAAGCGCCCCGCAGTTGCTGACGTCTTGCACACGGGCAACGCTTTGAGCCAAGAAAGACGCGGCGGCGGCCGCCCGAAAGCCACGAGCAAGCCGCAGGGCCCAGAGCTCGAAGCACAAATGCGGCTATCTCAAAACAACGATTCCGGGCGCGATTCGGGGGCGCGCTTCGGGGCCTGCTTCGGGGTATGATTCGCGGGGGCCGCGCTTCTGCCCTCTTCAAGACTCAAGCAAAGCAACCCGGTCTCAACGTCCCCAGTGGCAGCAAAAGCAGAATGAGTTGCTTGGAATCTTGCTCGCTGGCAAAGCAGACAGCAGACGCGCCCAAATAGCTTTGCAAACCAAGGCCGGCACGCGAGCTGCAATATGGGGGCGCCAACGCGCGGCTCTCCTGACCAGGCGGCCCAAGTCGCAATCCAATGAACTCCGGCTACTCTCAAAGCCGTTTCGTTGCGTCGACGGTTTTTCATTGAACAAGCAATTGAGCCCCTCTGTTCCCCTTAGCTTTCTTGAGGACCTGGCTCAGTTGTTCGCTCGGCTTAGGGTTGGTTGGGGTTGGAAAAGGGTGGGTTCAGGTTTGGTTCAGGGTTTTCTTGGGGTTCGTTTGTGTTCCAATGGTTGGCTAGGGTTGGTTTTGGGTTGGTTTAGGGTTGGTTTAGGCTTTTTTTAGGCGGGGTTTAAGGTTTCTGTTGGGCTTCCTTAGGTTTGGTGTGGGTTTGGGAGTTTGGAGTTGGATTTGGGTGGTTTAGGGGTAGTTTAGCTCTGGTTTCGTGTGGGTTTAGGGTGGCTGGTTTGGGGTTGGGAGGTTATGTTGAGTGCTGGTCTAATGTGGAATTAGGGTGGGTTTAGGTTTGGTATAGGGTTTGTTGAGGGCTTGTTTAGGGATGATTGTTGTAGGAAGCCGAGGCAACAACAAACAACCGCCAAAAGCCACAAAGGCTCGCAAAAAGCCACGAAAGCCAAAAAGCACCCACCCACCCAACCAGCCGACCTACCGGGGACCCTTCCACGACCCAGCCCCATGTTTGCAAGCCTCCCAAAAACACCTGTGAGCAGCAACTATGGCCCAGGCTAATCGAGTGACAACATTAAGCGCAACACTGCCAACAACGCAAATCTTCGGACGCAAACAATTGCGACGGGGACCTCTCACAGAGAAAGAGAGAGAGAGAGAGAGAGAGAGAGAGAGAGAGAGAGAGAGAGACAGAGAGAGAGAGAGAGAGAGAGAGAGTGACAAAGAGAGAGGGGTAGCCCCTGGTTTTTCCAATGCCTATGGTTTCATGCTGCCTTGACATGTTCCTGTCGCATACCTGGTTGACACCTGGACGCTGGAAAGTGGTGTCGCTGATGTTACAACTTGGATGGCGACCTATGCTGGTGATCTGGTTGCTGATGATGGCAGTTCTTCCGGTGATGGCCAAAAATGAGCTCTTGCCCATGCCCTTCATTACAGAGCAGGCCAGCCTGGACTTGAAGGGGGAATGCCCCTGGTTCCCCTGGCTCCTGATGACCTGATGAGTGGCGCACTGGCTTTGATTCTGGGCATGCTGATGGCTCCGTACATCCCAGCGCACCAGGTGCTTCTTGGATGCGTGCATCCAAGTCGACGCCGACTGAAGGGAAGCGCGGGAGTGACGGGCTGGGCGGCTTTCTCAAGGTGGTCCAAGGACCTTGACCAAAGCTGGGTATATGCAACTAGAGAGGGAGAGAGAAAGAAAACCAGAACAGAAAAGACAAAACACCCCACAACAGTATAAACTTTGGGAGATTTTGGGAGGCAAACAATTGCGAGGAGGACCGTACCCTTGAGCCGCAGAAATGCGATCCCCACCCTTTTTTGAAAATTATGCAGGCAATCGGTCAGGGCTGACAGCTGGTCAATTGTCAGCACGGCAGTCAGTCAGCACAGCTAGGCGTCGGGTATTACGGCGGCCCGGTTGCGGTTTGCATGTCTGGCCGTCCAACCGCTGGTCAGCACGGTCAAGCACGGTTGCACGGGCAATGAATGCGGCTTTCCTTTTGGCGCCCGCTAGAAACTTATGTGGGTATGGGTCAAAATCAAACCACCAAAAGACCGCAGGTTTTGGTCCATGTTTCCACTTGCCGGGCAACCCATTTTGGGTGCCTAATTTTGACAACCACAGCCGTGTTAGACTGTGCATAATTGAACCCTCAACCTCGCAGAGCTGGCCTCGCCCCGTGGTGCACCTCATCAAAGTGGATGCTGGTGCCGGTGGTGTGTCGCACGCTCTGGCAGCGAAGGCTCAGCTTTTGTCAAGGGGTCAGAGTGGTGGTTTGGAGCTGTTCCGGGCTGGGAAACCCATATATTAAGCCCTTAGAGGTTCAATTCCCCAAACTAATCCAAACCACCAAGTAAGGGTTACTGTATCGGGCTTGTCTTTTTTTAGGGGATTCGAAGCCTGCCTTTTGGCCATTTTGAGACGAACCCCTTTGGCTACCCTGGTCGACGCAAATACCCACGGACCCACCAGAAGCGAACAGTGTCGGGGGCGTTCGTGAAAAACATGGACCCTGAGATAGATATTGCCGCGAAATCCAGCTGCCGCAAAATTACGGGTCACCAAGCTTAAGCATGTTCCGTGGGGTTTCAGGGTCTAAGCCCGAAAACTCGCCAGCCGAAAGGAGCCCCAAGAGCTTCAACTTAGCTGGACTCCAAGACGCGCATT